TTCAAAAAACTCAGACAGTCGGCAGGGCAAGCACAGCAGCAACCACTCGGCAGCATACCCGAGAATGTGCAGCAGCCGGTCACACTGGAGGACTTGGCTGACATGACTCGCAATGCAAGGAACTCCAGTTAGCGTGAACCCAGCTACACCGTCTGACCACCCTGAGAATGAGCAAGAGCGATTGAACTGGACAATGACCAAGGGGAAAACGAGCAAGGAGGCACTGCAGCCACAGACCTGAAACTGGCATCGGAACAAGTGGCCATGCAAGGTTTGCATTGCTACCAAGTCACTGCTCACGCTGCCGCCGCCGCGGCCAGGAAAGGCATTACACTGCCACCTACGCGACTCTACAGCGATCTACCCCGAGAATGGCCAATGGCGAGATTGTGCATCTCATACAAACAAGTGAATCGATATGTCCACACAGTCCTCTGGAGGCGGGTTGCGGAGAGCGCACTACGGGGGACTTACTTTGGCAAGATACCTGCCGAGGTGCGCCCCGCTCTCATAGAGGATCTGCTCCAAATCAGCCAAGCCTTTGCTGCACCACTGGCGGAGCTTTTTGCCTTTGTTAAGCAAGGCCACCAGCCGTGTTCCTTTATCCCTCAAAAGCAGTTAGCGCTCTATGCGAATCCCCAATTCTGGCAGTATGGCCTTCTAGCGTTTGTCTCAGGGTGCTGAACTTAGACCCAAGCAAGCAAGAGCAGCTAAGGCAGACCCGGCCAAGCAAGAAGAGTCCAGTGAGAATGATGTGGATGCGCTCACCTTCATGCAAACAGTAATCATGTCCTTTGTGCGAGGAATGACGCATGGAGAACAGATACTTCCGATCAATGATCTCTTTGTATACCTCCCAGTTCAGCTTCTACCAGCCCTCGTTGAGTCCATAGGGAACCATGGGTTCGACAGAGCAGAAGTGAAGAGTGGCTGGGGGTACCGGCCCAGGAAAGAAGGGGCAGAAGACAACCCCCTTCTAGTGGCAGGCGTTTACAGCAAAGAAATGGCCTATGGCAATGAACCACAAATGCCTGAGACGACGTGGGCAGAGAGAGCATATATCTATCGCGCACTTGACCCATCCTTGGGGCAATCCATGTCGTTCCCATCCCTCCCGCAACTTAAGTTGCGCCTGGAGGTCCCGCTGTGGATGGATCTTGCGGAGGCCAGGCACCCCCTAATGGAGACGCGCACAGAAGAGTCTGATGCGGACTCTGACGTCACTGGCGTGAGAGAGCCGTCGCCCAGATATGCGCAACCAGTACCAGTAGGGGCTGTTGACCCCTTAGAACAGTCGGCAGAAGAGTCAATAGAGGATGAGGACGCGACAGCGGACCCCACTTACAAATTTGCACAGGGATATGGGCGATTTGCCATTCGCTACACTAGGCTAGCCACAGCACTAGGCAACTTTGAGCAAGGCAATGCCCAGACAGAAAGCGCCGTGGTGGCTGGATGGCTGACCTCAGGACTAGAGATTGCCATGTACAGAATGGGGTGGAGTCTCCTCTCACCACGAAAAGAACTAACTCGATTGAACAAGGAGACACTCTACCATCACTTTCACTATGGCTACCCTCACTGTCGTGAGGATGATCGACCATACCAGAAATATGGCAATGAGACGTGTACAGAAGAAGAGTGGGAGCAACTCTGCTATTGGCTCACGGGGGACCCAACTTTCCGGAGTAAAGTAGAGCGTCATCGAAAAGAGTTAAAGGAAAAAATCGCGGGCAAAAGAGACGACAGCAATAGGCGACATAAAGCTCGGCGCATTGCCCCCCCTGTTGGTGCAGGCAGTTCATCCTCTACTGCTCGCCCCCCTCATCGCAATCGGCCCCCCCCGCCGCCTCCGCCAAGATGGTGGTGGCAGTGAACGGAACCCACCAGATAACTACAGGACCTACCATCTGTCTTGCAACCTCAGTGAAAGTGGTGGCCTTAGCCATTGTTTTCCTCTGCTGAGGTTTGTCTGTGCAACTGTTCGGCTCAAACAGGCCGAGTAGACATGGAAAGACAGCCGCAGCCAGGGATGATGCCGCATGGTCATGACCAAAACGCCATTGCCATCAACTTGGTGACACTAGCGGGCAATGAATATTCCACGCAGGCAAATCTGACCCACTATGACGACCTCACCCAACTGGAGGATGACATTGTCAGTTTTCTGCCAACTGTTTCGGACATTGAGGTATTTGGCTGCGAAGTTGACCTCATCGAGCTAGATACCCAACTACCGTTGTCAGAGGACTTCCATACTACGCTACTGCAACAAAATAAACTGCAGATAATTGTACGGCCATGCATAGAGGAAGGCCACTCTATTTGGCAATTCCAGGATAGTGACAGGGAGGGATACCCCAAGGCGGTTCGAGTCCCCATCAATCCTCGCAAAGAGGTTGCTGATAGAGCCTTTTATGCGGCGCCAATGCTCCGACATGTGGAAGTGGCTGCGGGGATAAAGCACATTGGCTTTGCTGCTTGGCAGGGCTGCCAACAACTGCAGATTGTCAAACTCCCACCCTCAGTCATCAGCCCAAGGATGTTATGTCCTCAGGGAGGTTGTGGCCCCGGGCTGTGTCCAGTTCAGCCGAAGAGTTTTCGCCGAGTGCTGCTCACTCAGCAAAGTGTGCACTAGAGTGTGAGCTCCTAAAGAAACCACAGTCCTAACTAACCAAGAACAAACTAACTAGCTGATATCTCGTTTGAGATACCTCGAGCCAAGGCCTTGAGCCAAGGCTTGAGCCAAAGCTACGGTAATATGCGCATTTTGCTCACTGTCTTTCTCTATGAAGAGTCATAAGAAGCAGAAGGACTTTGGGGAACACGGCCATGGGAATCACTCACTTCCATGCTCCGATGATCAAGAGAGGGAGTTGAAAAAGCAGTGTCTCCCTGAGGGAGCCTTTCTTCGACATCACGTACGCCACTAAAATTGTCCAAGGAGAGACATGCTTCGCCAGCTTGATAAGTTTTGCAAGTGATCATATGGAGGCAAAAGTCCACACTCTCCAGAAGGTTTTGGAAGCACTTTATACTGTAAATATTGGGATTCAGTCTGTCGTCGGGCATGAGCTTGATCATTGTCATCATGTGGCTTCTTTTGACTCTTCTGGACTTTCGTTTCACCGCTTGTTTGATCATGCTGCCACCTAGTCGAGGTCATTACAGATGCAGACTTGGTAGGGTGCAAAGAAATACGCAAGAGCGTTACATGTTTCCACATTTTCCTAGGTGGTTGTCTCACAGGCCATCGCGCTATCCAGTGGGAAAGAAGAGTTTACTGCAATCGTGGGAAGCTTTGTTTGTGAAGCGTGTGGTCGATTTTGTGACCAACGAGACGGCCAAAGTCAAAGCGCAAAGAGATTCTTATGCTGCAAGATCCATGACAGCCAGACAAGGGCAGAGTCCGACATTTGGACAGTGGCATGATGTGGGCGCAGGAGGAGATCATGAGTGGTGCTTGAAATCACAGCTATCCCAACACTGCTGAATCCAGCAGATCGGAACCAGGCTGAAAGCCTTGAGCTTGGTGGACGAGTTCGATGTGGAGATTGGTGAAGATATGAGTTCAAAGAGACCGACGCACGTCTGACACGCGCAAAAGTACTTCACCTCCCACGAAATGTGATCTCCGCCACACCTCGCAACCTCACGCTCCCCTGCGCCTGCCACGAAAATCCCACTTCCACACCTCAAAGCCCGCACAAAGTACTGCGCCTGCCACGAAAAGTGACAATATCATGTAGCCACACGTTTGGAATGATTTCGGCACCTTCTGAGCACACTCCCATCCGCCAAAATCGCCAATTGAGCTGAGACGTGTCACGAAAACACAGCTTCGATGCAACCCTGAAACGCAAATCCCAATGTCACAGCCACACCCAACACCCCAAAAACACCACTCTCCAAACTTCAAACGCCAATCCCAATGTGACTGAGCAGAACCTGCGGATCTCACAAAACGCTGCGCATGCGCAGTGAAATCATCCTCCACACTTCAACATCTTACGTCTCCACACGTTTCCTCGCTATTTCACACAAATCTGACACGTCACGCTTCCATCCAAAACCCTTTCCAAAAACTTCCCCCAATGGCAGCGCCTTATCGCTCTGCCACGGACGGCTGCGAACGGTTGCGGCCGGTTGACCACAGTTGTGAACGCTACGACAACGAGTCGCGAACAAGGCTCTACCCCCAGACCCCCAGAGTTAAACGAGAACCTTTCGCTACACATTCGGGTTAACACGGCCAGCAATATTATATGTTCTTTTTGTTGCACCGATTGTTGTGGATGGCTTTTCTATTTTCACAACATCTCGTCAAGGTTCCACGCATCACCCAAAGCTTGCCCAAGCTTTGTCATGTTTCAACAAGTTGTTGCCTTCCAGTTCTGTAACAGTTTCATTTGTTTGGCTGCGTTGGCACTCGTTCGTCCTATCAACCAGCCAACGGCCATTGCAGTTGGCTTCAGATGATCGACAGGATGAACTGTAGCAGATCTGATTGTATATTCAGTTTTCATGTGAAACAACATGGTATGGTCTACAGCATTCGGAGTTCATTGCGGGCACAAACTGTTGGTTTTGAGAACAAATATCATTTGCGACGAAGATCAGGAATTTTGTTGGAGTGTAATGTATATTACAAGAAGTCAAGGGACACGATGTACGAATTGGATTTGTCCTACACGCACTTTCTTCCACGCAACACCTGTTCACAGCTTGAACTTGCGGATCATGTCGAGGGCTGATTTCAACGTTAGAACCTTGCAACACATTGCGGGAACTTTTGCTGGAATTGATGCGCTCGAACGCGTCGTCATTGTGGCGCCGCGTGCTGACTTTGATCGTCCTTATGCGTTCCGATGTGAAGTCCCTGCAGCAGGGCACCCTTTGCGTGCGGAGGGCTTAGAACTGCTGTTTGCCCGCGCGGCTACCATAGCGGTTGCGATCGTTGGCACGTCAAAGTTGCGGATCCACTGCGAGGATGATTCGACGTTGGTTTTTTTTGCAGAGGAAACTGTCAGAGAATTCAGCACTGATCTCGAACATGCAACAATTTGGCCCAGTTTTGATCGATCGAGGAGGACCAGAAGATGTGGATATTGATCTTTGCCATCTACCCTTCCGCAGCCGGTCCAGCGCATCTCAAGAGCCGCACTCCGAGCCGCTGGAAGAGCAGCTCTTTGTAGGAATTGACTATGGCCGTTCGGATATCAAGACGGTTGTCGTGGATGCCTCTGACAGGCTCCTGGCCAAGTATGTGACTCGTTGGTGGAGGATCGACGACTCTGGTGTTCTGGAGTACGTGGATCCACAGGTCTTGACCTCGCACAAGTGCCATGTGCAATGCTTGGCAGAGGCCGCAATCGCTGCTCTTCAGCAAGTGAAGGACTTCTCCAAGAAGACTGTGTGCGGCGTTGGCATCAGTGCGGCAGGATGCGTGAAGTATGGGAAACTCTGTGGAATACCACCAGCCATGGGTGGAGTAGAGGACACGGATGCCACACGCCAGGACGTGGGGCGGGAAAGGCGTCCAGTGGGGTCGGGGGGGTCGGGAAAGGTCAAGTCCTGGGATGTTCGGGAATCGGTTGAACAGGTTCTTGATGTTATTGAACTGAGAAGGAACAAAAGGTTTTTGCAGCCCAGAGCACTTGATAAAGGTCAGAACTCCTAGAGGAGCTGAAGTGGAACATGCAATATCACTGCGTAAGAAACACACTCTTTACTTTGTTTCAGTGTCTTCCCTTGAGTGGAGCGTTGGTGGAGCATCAAGTCTCCACAGCCATTCACAGAAGAATGGAGGTTATATAGCTTTTTCTTCACCCGGAGCTGTGTGATGAAGTCTCAAAGCCACCCAAAGACCAACACCAATCGCCACATCTGACTGGGCCCGACTTCCGAGCTCATCGGGGTCTGTGCCCAAACCCTACATCTCAAAGCCGCTGATATAAGTTTTGGACAGCCCGGAGATTCTGGAAAAATCCCTTCTGGAGTGCTGTGGCTCATATCAAGTCAAGATTGCTGGTTTTGGCTGGTGAAGGGTTATCATTCATCCATGGAAAATTTCAACTCTGAGCTGTCCCCATCTAAGCAAAAAACAGCTGGGTGTTGTTTCATTCTGGGGCACGGCATAGCACTTTAATGGCTGATGGTGAAGCACTGCTTGGTTGCATGGATTCTCGTGCGTTCCAGGGGGTCCATTGTGTGACATCCATATTGAAGGAGCTTGAACAGGAAGATTGAATCTAATTGTCCTCCGACCACATGCTACAATCTTGGGGTACTCGAGGACTTGGAGAATCTGGAAGGCTGTGTGCTGGAGGAGATGCGAAAGATCCTTGATGCGAAAGGACCCAAAGGCGTATTCTTCGTCAATCACAGACAATCTGTGACCTTCAAAGGCATGATCAGGGCATAAATGAGGGGTTCCGATAGAATGGAGATTAGCAAGCCAAGCCGAGGTGACATATTGACAAAGCTATTTTGTGTGTGTTGCCTGTCCCAACACTAGAGTCTTTTTCATGCATGTGGGTTCCAGATATGCGCGCCTCTCCATGTTTCTTTCTTTCTCTCCATGTTTCATGGAGATCGTGGCTTGCCAGCCAAGGACGGCGACTGCCACTTTTCTGCAGTTCATTTTTTTTTCAGATGCCCCAGATTGATGTGGAGTTCCCATCGGCACAATGCAGGAATTGGACTTGGGTGATTGTATATGAGAGGTTTGGAAGATGGTTTTCGAGGAAAGCCTACTTTGTCGACAAACTGGAGGTGCGTTTTGGGACTCAGCCTGCTCCTGTCATCACACATCATCCTCATCCACCATCCTCATGGTCCTCATCCCAATGTCTAAGCGGTCTAAGCGGGTTTCTCGCCTGGCTGCACCGGGTGGGCTGCCGCTGCCTCTCGCTGTAGGTGAAGGCTCGCTGCACCAGCGTGTTGGTGAATGATGGAGACGCCTCGGTGTCTTGGCGACCCACGGCGACCCACGGCGACCCGTGGTGTTTTCTTTAATAGAAAGGCCCGGGCGTCGCTCGGGTGGCGAAGTGAACCCTCCCTTTTTGGGGCGAGAGACCTCGGTGGACACGTGGTCCGAAGGTGTCGTCGTCAGACCAAAAGGGAATCTCTCCAAAACATCACCGGACGGGGTTCTGAAGGGTTTTGGTTCACGCAAGGTGAAGGCTCGGCTCCCAGCAAGAAGGGTTTCGCTTCGCTTTCGCTTCGTTGGGTTTGACACCTGAAGAGGGGGGCCTGCTCCGGCAGTTTTGGCAAAGGTCAGCTTCTTCTACTTGAAGAATCACATATATAATCATCCTGTCTACCAGTCTACCCAAAAGATCCCAAAAGCATAATGCCATAAGGCCAGCGCCTCGGAGGTCATCGGACGATTCGGTAGGGTCGAGCGCCGAAGGTGAGGGCTGCTGTGAAGCCACAAAGTTTGTGGAGAAGACTGGAACCAATCCAAGCTTGTAAGTATTTCTTGCAAGGAAGAGGGATATACAGATATCTACAGTATATGCAGTATCAAGTTTCTCAAGTCCCTCAAAGCTTGCTTGCTTGCTTGTTTCAGGCTGAGTCGTGGGGTGGAAGCTGGAGAATTTGTTGACACGCCGGAACCGGATGAATGGTCTTTGCACCCTTTTTTTGATCGGGTGTGAGCCGAGCGAACTCGCTCCCCTCAGCGAGGCGCTCTACGGTGCCAGTGGGATGCCCGCAGGAAAAGCAGGGCTCTTTCTCTCCTGTGGTACCGGACTGGCCGGAGGCGGGGACGGGCACGGTGACGGGGGTTCTGATCGGAAGCGGATTGGATGGAACGAAAGGAAGGGTGTAGCTGCTTCGAGTTGGATTTCCCTTCGACTCTTTGCTTGCAGGTCAATGATAGGGCACCCAAAGTTGTCAGCTCTTCGGTATAGCCAAAGTAGTTGATTGGGCCCACGCGCGTGAAGCTTACTAAATACCAAATGGCCAAGATTTTTGTTTTTTGAATACAAGTTGGTTGAAAAGTGATTCTCCCAGTCCGTTAGCACAACCTGCTCCCAAAAATTCTCTCTCTCTCTCTCTCTCTCTGAAGGTTCGTTGGAGCAGAAATGAGCAGACCTGTGCATGGTATACGGCGTTGCAAAATGTGTCGGGTGTTGAAACGTTTTGAGGGGTCTTGTCCAGCATTTTGGCCGCAGACACCGTTGATACAGAGTTTTCATCACTGCCTGGACCTGCCGACTAGTCTTTTGGGCTGCTTGCTTCTATTAGTTGGTCAATTTCGGGCAAAGGATCAGCTTCCAGTGAATTTCCTCCCAAGAAGTCCTCGGTGCATGGCAGGAGTTGTTTGGAAGGGTGACTCCTGCGATGGGATCTTGGAATTGGGCAAGCTGGTTGTGGGACTTCCCGACACAGGCGGGTAAGCTGGGACTTCCATTGCGTACCGGGTGCCGGTGCTGGCGTCACAAGATGGACATGGGTGAATTTGGGTACCAGGACGGAGCAGACAGAGCTCTTGGTGAATTCGACATGAACCTTGTTTTTCTTTGTGATTGAAAGCGAGAATATATACAGTGGGTGATGTGCTGCGACCTCGCTGGTCAGTTCTGGACATATCGCAAACTCTTTTGATTCTTTGTCCCAAAAACGCAGTGGCCATATCAACACAGCAGTCCAAGAAAGCGCAGTGAATCACCCGTAGCGACACATGGAACCTGACCAATGTCTCAGCACGCTTCGCTTTTGATGAACCCATCTTCAGCTCTTCAGGCACTGGCGGCGTGGTGCCGGTCCACGATGGCGCCCGGGCGGGTGAAATGGAAAGCTATAGTACCATTCGCCAAAATAGGGCACCAATTGGCCTGAAGGGCTGCGTTGGCCACTCAAGTGAAGACGAAAGAGAAAGAGAAAGAGAAAGATTGGAAACGGAACACCGGATTGGGATTCCACCCGATATTTCTGATCAAGCACAAAAGGGTGTCCGACGAAGCGGATCACACCAAAGAGCGCACGAAATCCAAGAGAGTGAAGACGAAACACGCACAGAATCACTTTTCAATTGAGTTTCCAACTTGTAGAACACCAGAAATGACAAACATCGAGAAAACCATCTCTCCAAAACTGCCGTCATGATTTCCTTTTTTGGGGTTTGAGGCTCAGGTTTGACAGCTCCCGTTCGTCTACCGCCGTCTCCCCGCTACGACGGTCCGCATCTCTTCGGTCTCCTTTGTCGACAAACGAGGCTTGAACTTGCCGGCGGCAGCGCAAGGAATGTGCGGCACGCAACGTGCCTTCTTCAACCTGCTGGCGGCGCGGGGTGGCGCTGCTCGGATGGCGAAGCGGGGTGGCGCTGTCACCTGTGCTCGGATCGCGGTGCAGAGGAAGAAGTCACATGCAGGAACCTGAAAAGACTCACTTCAAGGAACACCAGGTAAAAGACGAAGTGCGGTCTGGAGCGAATCCAATGGAATCCATGGGATGTGGTGTCGGAATCGTGCGCATCGCAACCGCGATCCTTCGAAATTCTTTGTTTGGTATATGAATTCATAAAGGTCAGAGACTCTTTCTGAGCTGCGGCCGGTGGGTCATTGGGTTTGGCAAACAACATCCGAACGAATTCAACGAGGCATGTTGTTGTTGGCTGGGAGCTCGCGACTGCATGAGGTTGGAAGATTGGGAAACTTGCTTTGCCACATCGTTAATAAAGTTCTTTGATTCCTGAATCCGGAGCCCCTTGTCGGTTCGCCTGTCTTCAAAGCCTGCAGAAACTTCTATTGCTTTCCTTACAAGTTTAAGAAGTAGATGACTGACTGGATGAATTTGAGGGACAGTAGCTCCTGGCACTGGCATTACTGCTAGTATATAACAAGAAGCTACTAGTAACAAGGGCATCAAAATTGAACGGAGCGATCGGACGCTACGAACGGGCATCGCTTTACTGGCATTACTGGCGAACGGTTTGCGCCCCGAACTTCTTGGATCAACGGAACGATGAAACAGGGAAACACCCCCTTTCTACCAGGCCTGTTTAGCCTTGGGTCCTTCGCACCGGAGGGCCCAGGTTTTTGGGGATCCAGGGTTTGTGATCCACTTCCATAACTTCAATTGGCTGTGAGTCAAAACCTCCCGCATCAAACTAACCATAGGATTTTACAAAGGGATCTCTTCATTTTCAGGCATCAAGTTGATCCAGTGGGGGAAGTGATCACCTTCCCCGACCCAGGACTTCATCACGGGGAAGGCCGAGCAACGGGCTGCGCTGGTGGCCATGCAGAAGAAGGAACTGGACGCTGACTCACGAGGAGTCTGAACGGAGAACTTTGGGGAAACACTTTTTCAAGAGGTCTGAAGATCGGTTTTTGGAACAGCTTTCTGGAACTATCTGGTCGCATGCGGAGGGGATCAACCTGCCGAGATGCCAGGCCTTTTCGAGTCTTTGGGGCAATGGCTCGCATGCTTCGTGATGGAGTTGAATGAATACCTCCCAGTGAAAGTGAACTACGTGGAGGACACCGGGCCGCTGGGGGAACTCGGGCAGCTGGCGCGAGCTGGCGCTTACCACGCGGGCAGCTGGGTCGGTTGAGCCCTAGAGATGGGAAGACGGTTTGGTGGGTTGAGTGGACATTTTGAGCTTGGAGGGTTTCAGGCATGTCAAGACAAAGACCTGCAGAAGTCTACAGCTCAGCAGAGTAACAGGGAGGCTTAGCAGTAGATTAGGCCCAGATGTGGATGGATGATATAGGTAGAGGCAGCTTCCGTGTGGGGTATTAGCTATTTACAGAAGAGACGCGCATGAAGACAAGCTCGGTTAGCAGTTGACCGTGGGTTGCCCAACAACACACCAAGAAACATGGTGTTCCGCACTAGGCTTACAAGACACTGGTGAGTCCAACACGAACCCAATTGCTCCATGGATTTCCAGGCCCCCAAAGCAGCCTCTTTCACAGTGCCAAGTCTGGTGTCTTTGTTTGCTCCAACGATCCACGCTGCGCCTCCTTCGGCCGTGACTTGCTCGCCCCAGGCCGGTGGCAAAGTCACAGATGGCCCCACCGGGGAAGCGATGCTGGAGGCCTGTCGCCAGGCGCTGCCAGAGATGGAGGCGCGGTGAGGGCAGATTGCGCACTCGGTGTCGAGAAGATGACTCACAGCACAGACAGGGCACTTGGGTGCCTCAAAATTTGGGGATGGTAAACATCGAGGTGTTTCTGGGTGTTTTGAACCAATCGAATGAACAAGTGCTGTTCAGAAATGTTTGTTTGAAAAGTGGTGACCAGATGAGAAAGAGGCCAACGGTGAGAAAGTGTGTCGTGGATTTTTCAACCGCGGTGTTCGCTCCTTTGGATGTCCCATGGCTCACCAATTGTTGCATTGAAAGTCATCCAGGCTGACAGCAACACATCCGCGATTCCGCATTCTCGAGCATCCAGAGACCAGCAATCGACCTCTTTGTAAAAGCATGTTTGAGCAGGTCAAAACCCTGGAATCCTGGTTGACCCAAAAGGAGCAACATGGATACTATGCTTTGGGGGGGGTAGTCTGGTCAGCCAGAACCAAGAAACCGATCTTGGTCCAAATGGATGAGTCAACGGTGCTGGGCCAGCAGTCCCTGGTTGAAGTGACCAGCATTTGTCGGTAGCAACACCTTAAGACGGAGGATCAACATCCGGAGGAAAACAAACTCTACTGCTCGCATCAGCTCGATCTTGGGCGTTTCGCCATGTCACAGCGCCAGAACCATTGGGTGTTCACACTAAGTTGCTTTCCCCCAAAAGAAAGAATTGTCAGAACACTGGTTGTTGTCACACCGACATCGCTGTCGAGGTGCGCAAGGCTTTGGACAGCGAGTTCGGGCAAGCGGTGGCCGTGGCCAGTTTGGTGCGACCCCAAGGCTGAGCTCGACCAGAGCGGTGAGCTTGGTCGAGTCTGAAGAGTGTTTTGAGCTGAGTGGTAGCGAGGCAAAGCTCCGAGCTAGGTGAATTGACGATAGTCTAAGATAGGTAAGATGTCCCTGAGGCTGGGAAGCTGAAGATTTCAGCAACTGCCGAATCTTGGCAGATGCTCGATATCTCTTGGGTCTCACTGCGGAAGAATCAAAATGGACGCCTCATGTTGATGGATGGCAAGTGGCTGAACGACGCATTTCAAGCACCCTGACCAGGTCTTAAGCTCCTGTATCCACTAAGCACCAGCAATACAATAGTAGCTTCTTGAAGACATCATACACCGCCTCATAGAGACTATGCGGCACTTTCCATCCAAACAAATCCTTGGGTGTCCATGTTCACTCGGAGATTGACCATGATTCCATGTGCTCTTCCGGAGCCCTGTGGCTGCAGCGGACGGACCCCGTTGTGTCGGCTTTCGGGGTGTCTCAGTGTCGGGTCCTTGGAGCTGGTCAGGGAGGAAGGTACGGTAAGGGTCCCTTTCAAGAGACCTCTTTGGAAAGGGCCCTTGCCTGCCCAAACGATCTCCTCTCCTTTGAAGTCAAGAACTACTCCGAGAAAGCAACATCGCCTCCACCCTCACATGGGCGATGCTAGGTGGAGAGGGCTAGACCATTCCAACCATTCTAAGGCTCCAACGAGCCTAGTTCCAGATGGCAGTGTCTTCGTTTTCTGAAGAACAGGTCGGGCCGACGGGTGCGGCTCACCGCGGCGACCTCGCCGCTTTGCACAGGCGAGCTGAGAAAGACCCGCTGAATGCAGAGGAGCCTGGGACGGGACGGGGTGGGCCATGGTTGCAAACGTGTGCGTTGCACTGCTGGACTTAGATCCGTCAGATGGAGTTAGATCCGAGGACTTGAAGTCCAGGGATGCGGGGGTTGATGCTCCAAAGGTGAACACTAGCATTGCCTTGCCTTAACGCTATCACTTTCTGTTCAGTTCTTGAGTGCACGTCCTCTTCGTAGTTGTGGGGAGGCTTCGTGTGTCTGTATTGCGGCCTTTTCAAGCTGGGAGAGCCGGAGATTATTTTTCCAGGCTTTGGTTATTGCGGCACACATCTCTTGTGGGAGTAGTGATCTCCCTATATATATATACATAATAGGGGATGGAATTTCTTCTCAGAATCGCGGGGGTCGGGACCCCGATAAGACGATTTTTTAGCCACTTTTTCTTGGCTCATATGGAGGTTGTAAAGTCCTGTCCTTCAAGATCCTCGATTTTATAGAGAATTGTTGTTTTTTACAAGTTTGATTCTATAGAGGCTTATAAGTATAGCGAAGGGATTCTGGATGTCTCAGGCATACTGATTCTATAGAGAATTAATAGCATGGTTTTGCATGTTAGGAACTGCAATTCTATAGAGACTGATGTTTTTTTCAATGCATCCAGTTCAAAACTCGCCTGATTCCGAGAGTACGCAATTGGGATTGCTCAAACGAACCCTGGGGAATGGGTTCTTGGATGATCTTGGATGAGTCAGGATGACGCTAGCAAATTTGGAGCGTCCTAGCAAGTGAACGCTTTATATGAAACACTTTGGAACATCCTAATGCATCCTACCAACTGGCAAATCAATGCCTTCCAAGAAAGTTGCATTTTAATGTTTTTTTGAGACCCCTGTACCTTGATTCTATAGAGAACCAGGTTCTTACTACATTTTTTTGAGACCCATGTACCTTGATTCTATAGAGAACCAGGTTCTTACTACAACTCAAGCACACCTGTTCAGGAGTACCTTGGGACCTGCATTTTTATAGACAAAAACCATCAATATTCAATATTCACAACTTTCTATAGCTTTTGACAGACTGATGGCCCTCAATTCTATAGAGCTGAATCTTTGTTTTTAACTCTTTTCCTATGTTATCCTCAATTTTATAGGGTCAAAAAGTGACCCTCATTGGAGGGGGGTTGGTCCCAGCATTTTAGCACTATAAAATCGCTACCCCCGAGGTACCCACTTAATTCCAACCCCTATATATAAGTAGATCGAAAGGTCGATAACAACCAAACATGTATTGCAACTTCTAGCGATGGCCTTCATCCATCCTAATAGCAATGGCCTCCAACCTACTTGGGGACCCACCCTTTGTTCCAAAGAGATCTTTGCCTCTTGACTTCTATTTTCAATTTGGCCTCCTTAAGGTGCTGCTGATCTTCCCTTTTGGGGTCCAGCTTGGCTGCTGGATGTCTTTTTTGACCGAACTCGGCTTTGTTTGTTGGTTGGATGGTACTCCCCTGCGGATAGACATGGAGCCACAAAACCACTGGGTTGTGGAGGAATATTGTCTTTTGCGGGTCAATTCCCGCGGTCCTTGCTAGTCTGCGAGGGGATCTCTCCAAGGGTTTGGTCGCAAGGTAGCCGGTGCAACTATGTTTGCTCGGGTGCCGAGGGTGGGATTCAGGCTTTGGCAGCATGCAAAGTAAGGCTTTCCTTGCCAGAAATAGGACACACTTTCACCAGACCTTCATTCATTCCGGTGATGCATGGGTTCACACATTGCTCGCATTCTTTTGTATCCTTTTGAGCCACCTGGTGGTTTTGAGTTTTGAAGATTGCTTGCATGTCTCCTTCACCACTGCTGATGTCTTGATTGAGCTGCAGGCTGGTGTGGTTCAAACCAGGCTCTTTCCATCGAAATCTGTTTACTTTGTTGCTCTACTTGGCGGACATCTCTGTGTCCTGACGACAATCTTTTGACAAGTCATGAGGTACTCGACACGGTTTTTAATTCAGATGTTGGTACACAAGAGATGACTATTGTGTAAACAACTTTGTTTTCTAAGAGAAGCACAGAAGCATCAAATCTCATCTATCTGACATCGGACACATGTGGAGCTTTTGGTCTCTTGCCATCTCCCTTTGGAGCTTTGCATCCCAGGCGCACCGGTCTTTTGAGAGTCAACAGCACAAAGCATTTCTACTGTATTTATAAACCTACCTGAGAGGCAACGATTGCAGTTTTGCAAGGGTGGCACGACTCTGGGGAGGACTGCAAAGTTTCATATTCGCGTTGAAAGGTGGATGCATTGTCTTCTCATTGCCCCTCAGCAAGAGTCTTCCACTGAGGGTGATCGAAGTATCGAAGCTTCGCCAGGCACAGTTTCTTGGGCGCACCAGTGAAGCAACCTCGGAGCAAACAGAACTTCAGAGGTTGACGGAACTTGAGAAGCTACAAGAAGAGTTGAAGTACTGGAAGTTCCGCTATGGCGACCTTCTGGAAATGCACCTTGCTTGGGGTTTAGATTGTCTCACGTTCCTTCATCCGAGCGGTAAGTTACGTTGCCTAGAAACCGGGCGTTTAGCATCGAGGGGATATCGGTGTTGAACCACAGAGAGAAGAAGAAGAAGAAGGCGTTTGGCCCGCTTTGCCCGCTGCCTCCAACCTACTGTACTAGCAATGGCCTTCAACCTACTAGCGATGGCCTCCAACCTACAAGCAATGGCCTCCAACCTACCAGCAATGGCCTCCAACCTACTAGCAATGGCCTTCAACCTACCAGCGATGGCCTCCAACCCACTAGCAACGGCCTCCAACCTACTGGCAATGGCCTCCAACCTACTAGCAACGGCCTCCAATGGCCTCCAACCCACTAGCAACGGCCTCCAACCTACTGGCAATGGCCTGCAAGCTACTAGCGATGGCCTCCAACCTACTAGCGATGGCCTCCAACCTACT